CGGTTGCGGACCTCTAAGGAAAACTTACTAGGTTTGGGATAAACATTCACTTCCCTTGTGGGTAGTATCGTATTTGGGGATGCCCAACTTAGAGTAAGATTATATCCTCCTTTGGGGTATAGTATCTTATACAAGGAAGATAATCTTACTGGGTTCAACCACGAAACCACGAAAAAACATTCCTCTTGTGGCTTATCTGGACCGGTTCAAAAGCCGTGAAAGCCAAGTCCAATGAGGGAATGGGTTATAGGGGCTAGGACAGGGACGATTGCAGGGGATGGCAAAAGCACCACAGAGGGGTTCCATATGTGCAGGCTTCGAACGAAGGAACCCTTGTACAATTGTAAACAGGGAGTCTCATATAATATCCCTGTGATCCACCAAATTACCGAAGTTCCCTAAAGGTACCCTGTTCCGAAAATAGCACGGAACCCCATCTCACCCTAAACACTAAACCCAGGCTATCAGGAGAGTACATGCCAAGAGCCAGCTCCAGGTTCCAGCGCTTCCAAGGGTCTTCCAAAGCGGATGGCGGCGATGACACGGGGCCTCTGCCCGTGCTGGAGGCAGGCTTAGAGGCTTAGAGATTCAGATTACAGGGCTTGTAGTTCTAAGCAGGAAAACGCTCAAGTATAACCAGGCTGTAGCCCATATTCCCCTTATGGCTGCTATTACAAGTCACAGTGGTGTTTCATTGTATACCTACCCAGTGAGAGATGTTGTGCGCGGAATCTTTCAGGAGCATCTGCTGCGCGCAGACGTGCGCATGGTCTCCCTCAGCGCCTTGGTCTCCGGAGGCCGCCGGGCAGATGGTTTGGCTTCTCTAGGTTCAGTGTTTGGGGTTTAGGGATGAACAGAAGATAAGAAAGAACTTTTTTTTTTTTCGGGGATTATGCGGGGGCACTGGAGATTGTTCTTTTGATCCCTGCGGACAACCAGTAAGCCATAGGGTAGGGTGTGTAGGGTTCGGGTGTGGGATGCTGCTCGTTCTTGTCGGCTTGTCTGAGGCGCGCAGATGCCAAAATCCTGAAGGGTGTTGTCGATGCTTTTGTGAGACTAGGAGGCAAAATCTCTGTGAGGGTAATGGCAGTGCCCTGACCCCTAGAGCCTGAAAGCACCAAAGCCGAAGCACTAAACCCTAGTCGTTGCGATTTCCCGGTCCATTCCCTACTAAGCAAAAGTTAGCTTGGCGTCTTTCCCCATTAAACCCGTATTTACCCCCATATATCCTTATATACCTCTAGTCCGCATTTCATTTTCCATGTTCTCTTCCACTTGATTTTTGTTTACAGGGCCCTAACCCTAAAATTTAATCTGCGCTAAATCTCAAACTTGGCTAGCGTGATCAAATCCTAAACCCTGCTTAGGCCGCGCTTCGCGGGATGTCAGGGAGACACTCCGGGAAGGAGGCGAAGGGTCACAGAGCAGTGGCGAGCTCCTCGGCCGAAGGCAGGATCTCTGGTTTAGTGTTTTGAGTCTGGGTAGGCCCCTGGGATATTCAATATTTTCCCTAATGCCTTTAATAAGAGACCCTATATACTAATATTTTTCAAAGGGTTTTAGGGGCCAACCCTGGAGCTTATGGTCTTTTTTTGTTGGAGCCCCGGTGCTAAGGATTGTGGGACATATGCAGATTTTTGATGGGAGAAAAGTACGTGCCACATATCGTTCAATACCTGCGTAGCATTGCGTAGCAAGCCATCCCGACCCACGATTATTGAATATTCTACAAGAGCGTAATGGGCAGTATTTGATGGCTGGGATGTGGGGTGGGGTTTTTATGCAGGAGCAGAGGATCAGATAGAAACAGAGGCGGGAAGAGGTCACTTACTCAGTCCCCCTGACCCTCCAAGTGGTTCTTAGTGTCAGCAGGCAGCAGAGGTGTTGGGCTGATCACAATTTCTCCAGCTGCGCCGACCTAAAAGCTTACCTGCAACTTAAAACCGGAGGCCAAAGGACATCTTGTTGGTTTGCTGTCAAGGAACTTAAAATCAGTGACTATATTGGGGAAGCTATATACCCATGTTATGGTAAATTCAATGGTAAATTAAATTAAGTTAAGTTCATTGACAGCAACCCAGCTTGGGCTTCGAGTTGGTATCCCTTGAAATGGCCTCAGGTTTGAGGCAGCGCCTCAAAAAAGAGCACTGTACACATCGAACCAATTCGAACGATGACGGGCCATGTTGAGATCCTTCATATCGCTCCTTTGGATCTTTGAAAAGGGGCTTAAAATCAAAGGCACTATATCGCCAAGAATCCCCGCCAAAAGCTTGATCCCGCAAACCCGAAAACTTACAAACTCCCGGGCCCTAAACTCAAGGTTTAATGTCCTGCGAGATCTGCGCTGGCATGGCACCGCCATTTGGATCTTGACTCGATCACGTGCCGGCTGCCTGGATCTACAGCTCACGCTACAGAGGGTTTAGGGCTTGGGATTTAGGGCGCTCTGTTCAGATTTCTAGGGTTTTGGGTTAGGGGTCCTCTGTTAAGGAAGCCTTAAGAAAACCCCAAGCAGGCGGCCCCACGTTAGGAGAGTAGGGAGGTCTTAGAGAGTCCTTAATTCGGGTCCCCCGTTGCATGGGGCCCCTTAAAGGACTCCTTAACATACATTCTGAAAACATACGTGCATGCTGTACTGCATGTATGCATATTCTTATTTATGTATGTATACGTTGTACACATGTTGTATATTGCATTATGTCTTTAATGTGACATATAGACAAGGAGAGAGAGATATATGTATATATATATGTATATGTAAAAATATACACACATATTCATATATGTCATGATGATGATGAAGGATTGCTTGGGACTTGGGGGGTCTGGGGCGTAGTCAGCGTGGCCTGCTCGAGCCCTCCCCCCAACGTAACATGAACCTTCATAAAGTTCCCTTGCCAGTATACCATGGACCCCGTTCAGGGGTTCATGTTCGTCTTGGTTGCTCTTAAGGAGCTTAAACAAGTTACTACAACAAGGAAACCCTATGGTCTACCATATACCCATGTCACGGTACCTTAATTTAAGTTCTTTATCAGCAGCCCATCAGTTTGTGGCAGGGTGGGGGGTTTCCTGTATTCTGGGCATGCGGTACTGGGGTTCTTTTTAGATACAAGGCTCGATGCCTGGACAGCCCTGTGACCAATGTGCTGAATCCCTAATGTAGACCTGTGATCAATAAACCCACTCGCCTTAATATGGATTATAATGGGGATCCTAACGTCTAGGCTCTATTAATCACGGGTCTACATGACGCTTTGAAGGTTTCATTCCCTTCCTAGCTCTGCACGTTCCCAACGCCATGTAGGATTGTTGCGTTTCAAGATCTTCCATCTGCGTTTCTAATAGGCGAATCAAAATTTCATATCAGATTTCGAAGACTGTTCTGATGCAGGCTTTGTGACTTCGCCCCTACTGCTCCTTCCCATCCTGGCCATGCTGGGCTCGGGCTTCACGCAGGCTTCCCTTTCATTAGCTGGGCATAGGGGAGTGCTTCCGGGACTGCAGGAGTCTGGGGAAAGGATCGCGCAGCGAGAGCAGAAGGTGTACAAGAATGGAGCCTCAAAGCTTAGGATGTAAAGCCGAAACATGAAGTTGTCAGTATGCAAGCGGTTGAAATCATGAACGAGTACCTTGACCGCAACGCCCTCACAGGCCGTAGGAGCTTTTTTAAAGGCTTTATGCAACTATTGAATACAGACGAAGGGTTTCGTCTGCATCTCCAAACTGCGCTCTCTGCTCCAAATATGTACAGAAGCTGGGATGGGCACGGCAGCCATAGAAAACCCAAAACATCAAGCCGCTAACACCGGGCATTTTTTTTAAATCTCCCTGGTGCTTGGGACGGAATGGGGGAATGGATTATGGGGATCATTATTGGGGGTTATATATAGGGATCCATTCCCCCATTATGTCCAAAGCACCAGGGAGTCTTTTATTCCCGGGCAGCTTAAACCCCTTAAACCCTAAACCCTCAACCCACAGGCGGCATCTCTTCTCTGCGATGCCCCTGAGCTTTCCCAGCTTCGGGTGGCCTTCCCTGAGGATGGCATCCATTTCAAGCCGCTGCTTGGCTAAGAGCAGCCAGCGGTTTAGGGTTTAGGGTTTAGGGATTAGCTTATGATTCTGGGGTAATATAAGGGTAATATAGTAATATAGGGGGGGATATAGGGATTTTGTAGGGATAATGGAAAAGAAAATGGAAGCTGCTATTTAGGGTCTAGGGTTAAGAGTAGGACTGCAGAAGAGCAGCCATCAGCTTCTTCATGCATACCTGGGGAATGGTGGGAATGGCTTCATAGGGACCATTCGTGAGATGCATTCTATAGGGACGGCTAGAAGGATCCTGTCCCCTATTCCCAACTAAGCATGATGAAGTAATACAATGCGCAGGGAGGCGGCAATGATAGGTCCTCGTCCCTGGCAGCTGTAGGAACGGTCAAACCCTAAATGCAAGGAAGATGATCGTGATAGAAATCCTTGTGTGACAGACTTGGTGGTCCGGCTGGTTTGACACCCACAAGTCCTATCCCTAGGCACCCTTCAAGGCCTGGGCAAGATCTTCTTGTTAGATGGAGTGTAGAGATTGTGAATGATATGGAGTCTGTCAGATTGTGATGATTGTGCCCAGGGTATTGAGGTGTTGGAGAATCAGTGCGGCCGCTTGACAAGATTTGTGGTGCCATGGCCGTATCCTTTTCGACGTCCGAAGTTCAATATTGTCATGTTTGCGTAGAGCACTGAGATCTGACGTTTTTTCTAAAAAGTTATTGTTCATGTCTGCGAGGCCTCAAAGTTTGAGATGCTTCCATCTCAGCGAAGCTCAGGATTCTTGACCCAGCACAATTTTGACCTAGCTCAATTTCCATCATCTTTAGGCACTGGATACCTCAGGCCCCAGTTGCCGACGTTGCTCCACGCCTTGAGTTCGGAGTTGGCTCCAAACCATCATCGCCCAAAGAACGAATCATGAACCCTAGGCCCTGAACACGGCTAAGGTGGATCCATCATTACGATGTCTCCTTAGACAGCAGCTTCACACAGACCTTCGTGGCGCCTCGGCTGGGGCAGATGTAGAGTTGCACGCGAAGAGGTTTTTGATTACTCTGATGCAAAAGGCTTGACGGAACGTTACAGTCTAGCTGTTGCTAGTACGACAGTTGCACTGAAGTGCGAATTCAGCTTGTCAGTTGAAGAAATGCCCAGCCGACGCCTCGGAAGCATGTACTGTACTGACCCGCATTCAATTCCCCAGGTAGCGGCTGCCGAGGAATCCAATACCACGATGCTGTCTATCGGAGGCAATGTATCTGCCAGCAGCACGTCCACATGGGACTTGTTTTGCATGCTTTAAATTCGGGGTTCGACCCTGCCGAAGGGTACAAAACAATGGGTGCTTCTTGGACAGCCATGAGTGCTGCAGGAAGTGGCCCAACACCACCCCTGAAACCTGAACCGGCCACAGCCACCTCCACCTCTCGAAGACTTGTTGGCATTGTGTTCCTGCTCATTCTCCGCCAGCATTGTACTGACAATCCCGACTATGAAGAGTCCCAGTGGTAGTCCTCCACCTCGTTTTCCTACTCGCCCCTCTGCCCAGTCCTCTACTGCACACCTCAGGTAACAGCTCTGCTTCAGCGACGGTTGCACTACTCGGGGAGCTGCCGCACTTGGCAACGGTGCCTGGAGCCTTTTTGTGATTGTGGTGGGCTAGGACGGTTTTGCATGTCTGGCCTAACGAAATTCAGGTTTCTCAAAATGGTCTCAAAGTAATCGTTAAGGCAGCGCCCTGCAATCCGTACACTTCACATACAGCCCTGGCTCTGTAATAATAACCCCCCCCAAATCTCAGAAGTTCCCGAGTGACCGGTAGAAGCCGGGCCTAAAAGTTGCTCAGCACTGCTAGGTGCGAAAGCAGGGTCTCCAGCAGAAGCAAGCTCGCTACGACATCGCCTTCGTGCCCATCACAACCCTCCCCAGCCAGGTCAAGATTGCCGGGCCTGGCTTCGAACGCCACCTGCCCTGGTCAGAGGTTGCAGGCACGCCCTGGTTAAACCAGGTAGCTAGAAGTTTCTGGGATGTGATTTTATGATTGGAGGCTTCTGTGGATGTGCAAAGGCCCGACGGACAAGAAGCGAGTCTTGATACTTCATCCATTTGTCCCTGCCAGGCTCGGTGATCAGCCTGCCGGAGTCGCTGCGGAAAGCGGATAGCATCTCCCTGGAGGTTATCCTGACGGACTACGAGCTGTCGGTGCCCCAACCATGCCACTGGGCTGGCGCGTCCACCGGGATCTTCACAGCCTTCTGCAAGGAGCATGCGTGCAACGAGCACTGCTGCAAGGCCATCTGCGGTCATCGGCCCAGCTGCCTGGCCGCCAGCCTCGGGCCCAGCGGCTGCTTTGAGGCGCGCCATGCGGCTGAGGCCCTGCAGGCCATGCGAGGGGGCCACGTGCCACCGGTCAACGAGCGGCAGTGGCTGCGGCGAAAGGTTGGAGGAAAGGTCTGTCGCTTGGCGGGTGCTGAAGACTGCGTAGAGGCCACGGCGGGCGAGGACCACACGCTGCGTTTTGCGAAGCTGCAGCCGGACTGGCTGGAACGTCACGCGGAACTCAAACTTTCCTTGGCGCTGGCCAAAGGATCTCAGCAGCTCCCCAGCAATTCCGAGGCTTTGCAGCTCAAGCTGGGCCCACCTGACATTTTGGATGTTCTTGTCAACCTGACTGGCATCACCCATGACGGCACAATTCGTCATTTCCAGGCTGCTTCTGTCGTAGAGGGCCAAAACATTGTGGTGACCCTGATGCGGTACCCACCCTACGAGCTCGCTGAACTCCACCTTTACCTGGTCATCCTCTTCCCGGACCCTGACTACACGGCCGGGTGGGCGTCCAGCACAGCAAGCCTTGCAAACGTTTCCGAAATTTCCTTCCAGAGGTGCGAAGAGAGCAGGCTGTTCAAGCACAGGTACCACGTCTGCCAGGCAGGCGAACACGGGTGGAGAACCACAACAGCTAAAATCAGCTTGGATCCCTGGGGCCCCACTGAAACCATCGTTCTGTTCGACGTCCACAGCAGAGCAAACAGCGGGACCCGCGAGCATGAGCATAATGACGGTGTAGGCTCGCGGCGCGCTGTCCAAGTGAGGCTGGATCAGGTGACGAGTGTGGGAGTCTGGTCTGCCGTTGAGGGTTTTGACTTGCGTTGCCATAACGGGGGTGGGGTTTCCCTACCTTTTTGGGGGTTCTTATAAGCGGGATGAGAGTGTTTTCGGTTCTATATTGGGGGCCCCCCTATTCGGGAAACTGCCACTAAACCTCCTATATCCCCACATACCCTAGAATCTAGTCATTGCCCCTCACATACCCTGAACCTTCGGTACTGCCGCCATCCAGTAGCAGTTGGATAATGTTAATATGACCATACAAAGCCTGGTGATCTGACCCCTATTAGAGATTGCTATTGGGTGGGGGCAGTAACCAACCTAAACCCTAAGCCCTGAAC